AAATGCTTCTGTAGAGAACTGAGAATAGGTGGGGTTGCTAATATTCAGGAGGGAACAGTATTTCTATTATCAATTAAAGATGCTTGTGTAGATACGTGAGAACAGTTTGTGGTCTCTAATATTTAGAATGAAACGGTATTTCTGTTATCAAAGAAAAATGCTTCTGTAGAGAACTGAGAATAGGTGGGGTTGCTAATATTCGGGAGGGAACAGTATTTCTATTATCAATTAAAGATGCTTGTGTAGAAACATGAGAACAGTTTGTGGTCTCTAATATTTAGAATGAAACGGTATTTCTGTTATCAAAGAAAAATGCTTCTGTAGAGAACTGAGAATAGGTGGGGTTGCTAATATTCGGGAGGGAACAGTATTTCTATTATCAATTAAAGATGCTTGTGTAGAAACATGAGAACAGTTTGTGGTCTCTAATATTTAGAATGAAACGGTATTTCTGTTATCAAAGAAAAATGCTTCTATAAGGAACTGAGAATAGGTGGGGTTGCTAATATTCAGGAGGGAACAGTATTTCTATTATCAAAGAAAGATGTTTGTATACCGAATTAACAGAAGATGTTAAATTTAGGGAAGATGTTGATTACCACCACTAGGATTGTATCGGAGTTTTCTATATTCCAGATAAATTATGGTTTTTACTATCAACGAAAGATACTTGTTTCGGACTCTGGGAATATACCGGGGCTTTCCAGTATTCAGAATAAATTAGGGTTTCTAATATCAAATCGATGCTGGTTTCCAACACTGAGATTATACCAGAGTTTATAATATTCTGCTGTGTTTCAAACATGTTTTTGATCAATTTCACTTCACCTCCATATAAGTAGTATTTACAAAGTTTTCTCGTGAGTGTTTCATAGCAATAACGTAATTTCTTGCGTTAAATTATAGTGAAGAGTTATTTTTATTACCTAATGTAAATGTATATTCATCTTATGTTTGAAATACAAATATAATTTATTTTGTTATAAAGTAGTGTACTGCTATCATTTTTACGGAATGTAAATGTTTAACCACCTTATGCATGAGTTAATGTATAAGTTATTGTGTTGTAAGATAGTTTAGTGTTAACCTTATTGTGCAATCTAAATGTTTATTAATTTTTTATGTGAGTTGTAAACATAATTTATTGAATTAAATTATAGTTTAATGTTATTTTTATTGTCGAATGTCAATGTTTCTTCACTTTATATGTAAGTTGAGAATACACCTCGCCGTGTTATAACATAATTTCATCAAGTTATTATTTCTACCAACTACAAATATTTAATAACTTTCTATGTGGGCTGATTATCTTTTTAAAATCTGTCATAAAGCTTGTATCTCTAACACTTTATTTTTACTATAATATCAAGATAAGAAGAAAATTGATGTTTAGAAAAAAATCCACAACTATTCTTCATAATTATCTTCACTTCGACTCCAGATATTTAGTTTCATCTTAATAATCACATGTTAGGAACGACAAGCATGCAGAATGAAGTTTTAAGTACCACTATTTAAGTCACAACGATTTTATAGGAGAGTGTTATTTATGGTTGGAATAATAACATATTCTTTAATTAAAAAGTAATTCGACTGCGGGAATAATTTTGTACCCTTTACAACTTCAAGATGTCCTCAGATTTTAGAGGGTATAGAAAGGGTAGTGAACTGTGTATAGATCTCACAACAAATCAAACTATATATATATTTGGTTAATAAAATTAGCAACACGAACTTTAGGACATTACTGGTGTATCATTTTGTTACATTGGTCTACAAATTTCCAACTGATATTGTTAAACTATTCCTATGTTTTTAATAATTAACCAAATTACTAAAAGGAAAAGTGACATAGCGTTATTTTAAATTTCAAGCCTTTATAAAATATATAGTTACTTTACCTTGAGAAGAATGTGAAATAAAGCGTTATGACAACGTAAAGTTCTATCAACGCTCCACCCATGTCGAGACAATTTACTTGGAAGACTGTCGACCCTTTAATCATTATAAAATACGCCCTAGAAATGTTTTCACTATTTCGTTTTGACATCATCTTTTTTTTTTTTTCTCTTTGTTCGCGACCATTTTTTTTCCAAGTATCTTGGTATTATCTTGTAGACTTCTGTCTAGACTTAGTTTGAATTAGTTTGATAGTTTTTGCAAATCTTGCTTTGACATGATCGTGCCAGTAATTTAAGTTCAACGATATACATATATACAGTTTAATAGCATTCACAATATTTGGAAAAATACGTAAGGTAAAAACAAAACAGAAGATGAAAAATGATAAAAACGCATGAGTTATCACGTTTCTATTTTAACCGAGAATATTGTGCTTGTTAACACTTAAAATCATAACTTGCATTTTAGGGTGTTTATGTTTAAAAATAGAGGAAATCTGTAAATGTTTTAGGAGTTTTTGATGGTACAGAAATGAATCTGTAATTGAACGGTTTGTCATTTTTTTAATGTCCTTACTGGAACAAATAATCGCATAACGAACTTTTTTTATGAAAACTTTTCTTCTTACAACCGGACGACCATTTGTTCAAATATTTTAAGAAATGCGGAGACTATTTTTCTGTGAAAGATTACACTCAATACATATTGTTACGCTACTGCTATAACATTTAAAATAATGTTTTTTACATTGCCATGATTACAGAAGTCGGTTTAGAAATTTTATATGCGCCGTACAAACATACATAAATATGTCAAAACGCACAAATAAAAACCAGTAAATATATATTTATATGTCTATCAATGACGTAAATACGATTCGCAAGTGTCGATGACTGTCAGGAATTGCGTGTTTGCCCGAGGAGAGCGTGCTACGTGACAACCACTTGAGTAGAATCCGGCCGTCAGCATATGCCTCAACGGCCCGGCGGGAAGCG